TTGATGCTACCAATTTCATTGGTCACCATGCAGGAGCTACCAAACAAGTTTATGCCCCAGAACCTTTCGATGTTGGGCGAGTTCTGCAAGCTGATATATTTTCGGAGGGCCAGCACATTACACTGTCAACCACTGGCCCAATTGAGCCAGGTATGCTCTTTATAGTCTATATTCCTATTTACTTCTCACTTTCTATCTGAATTTACTGCTTTTTGTGCCTATGTATGTTTTTGTTAAAGCAAAGACTAATGTCATGTATTTGTTGAGCAGCTCCAGGTCTTGGAAGTTATGTTGAGGCACTTGTTCGGAAACATGATACTGCATTCAATGTATGTCTCCCACTTCCTATTTAATGGACCAGATTGGTCTTCCGTACCTATCTGGAAGAAGCTATGTCCTCAATGTTCAATTGTCTTTTTATGTCCTTTTTCGACATAAGCATCTGAGATCCATGAAGCTTATGTGATATATTGTGCATGCAACTGCTTGATTTTCATAAGTGTGTGGATTGCATCTCCTGTCTCAAGATGAGTGATGGCTGTGCCCTACATCTCAGCTTCATTTAAGTGAATATAGGTTATAGTGAAAGCTTGCATTTGTGTCGGAATCTTGGTGTTTTGCCTTGTTGCTCAAAATGAGATTGTCTATGCATCTCTTTGAAGACGATCCTGTATGTTTTCTTACATAAACTCTGCATGCACTTTTCTTATATATGCCTGTTGTGATGTAGGTAATTATCTCTCAAATGAGTGGTGTAGACCGCATATCGGAATCTATTCACGCCCTTCATGTGGGGAAAATGAGAATGAAGCTTACTAAAGGAAAGACAACAGTTGCTAAAGAATACTATTCCAGCTCTATGCAGGTATAAAAAAAGTTCAAAAATTGCTCTGGAATGAAAATTTATGCATTAGCCAAGGAATGAGGCATCAAACTTTTTTTTCCACGGGGGGCTAATCAGATGTGTCTGAAAGTTTCTGTGTGTCCTTGCTGTGGCTTGAGTCGCTTGACTGGGCATTTATTGGTTTCTATACCATGCTGTTAAACCTTGAACAGAAATCTGCTTAGGTTGCTTTTCTGCAGTCTGTTTGCTGAAGTTTATTGTTGGGGCTGGATATTGGAACAATAGCAATCCAATAATATGAGATCAGTGAAAGAAATTGTGAATGTTTTCAGAAGATCTATAGAATTGTGTCAGCACATGCATACAATTTTGTCGATATGAGCTGTCTTCAAAGCTATATCACTTGAAACTGATGTTGCAAATGCCAAGACATGGGCCATCTTGGTCAGTGCGTGCATGCACAGACAATAGAACCCAAGTCAGAAATTGCTGCTGAAGTAGATATCCAAACTTAGCACTCGAATGTCTATCTAAGTGAATTCATGCATTTACATTATCCGATTTCTTCAAGCACACGTTAACCGTCTTGAGTTTGTGAGGTCATCTCATGCAATTCACCTGCTGTTTAGCTGTGTGGGGTTCGAGGAGGTGGAAATGCTGCACCACAAGCAATGTTTTGGCATGTTAAGAATGGTACTTCCTTCGTATTAGCATTCGAATCGGAGCGAGAAAGGAATGCGGCCGTAATGCTTGCCAGGAGGTTTGCCTACGACTGTAATGTAAGTCTCCGAGCATGTTCCTGCGTCTAATTCTCGTTTTCCTTGTTTTAATTTTCAGTTGATACTGTTAAAAAAGAAGCTGAACGAGTGTTTAACTTGGCAGATCATTCTTGCGGGGCCAGATGATAGATCTTTATCGTCTACCGCCCAATAGATGCCCATTAAATTGCCTTAACAAACATGTAATTATCCGAGTTTCTTTTTCATCCCATGTATCATAAGTTTGTAAGAGTAGAATGTCGGCTTTACGGTCCTTGCAATTAGCTGTGTTGCTTTCTCAGGCTTCCATTTTCCTTTTCCCTTTAAATTCGTTTTTGCCCCAGTTTCGGGCTGCTAATTCTAGCCCCCCAACATTCAAGGCACCCTTTTATCTGCCTTAGTCATTGGATTGTAACAGCATGAGTTTTCTTGCTGCGAAATCTGTCGCTTTTGCGTGTTGATTTGGCTGATATTTGGTTCATGGTAAATGAAATGCTTGGAATTGTGGAAAGAAGAATGATTCAGCTGCTCAACATGTATGTGGCATATTTTGTGTGATTTCTGGTACTAACTATTGTTACTAATAGATTGAAACCCACAATTTCTTATTCACTGCATTTGCAATTCCATTGACATGAATGAACTCTGTTGGTAACATACAGACCGATCGAAATTATAGATTGGTACGGTCGATTATATGCCGTCATTTACCGCTGAAGTACTCCTAAAATAATTGGTGTAATTGTAATTTTAACATCTAAATAGATGTTATCGAGGGTTCACCTCAATTATGGTGAGATCAACAAAAGTTTTCACCATGGAAAATTCAGGCGGGTTTGATTGCCCAAACCCAAACCGACCCAATTTAGCCAGAGGTTGGTACAGATTTGGTGATGGGAAATCGAGCCGAAACGAATAAATGGTGCTCCGGTTGAAGTAGAGTGAAAAATCAGCACGTTTTTTACTTTGCTAAGGTTGCTTTGTTTTGTGAAAAATATTTTCCAAAAAAACATTTTCCTTATTTTTCAGCATTTGGTTCACTTAGGAAAATTAGTCAACGGAAAATATTTTTCTAATCAATGGAAAAGTGTTTCCTACCAAAGCTTAAATTCAAGGAAATTATAATGTTTTCCAAAATGTATGTGATTATGTATCGGTATTTAGACCCAAAACTTTACGCTTGGGCATGGAAACTCAATGTTAGTTCTTGGGAACAAGTCTCAGGCCGCCAGGCTTGGGTCCATTGAGGCCGGGCTTGGGACTAGGACCACGGTGCTCGGGCCTAGGCCCTTGACGCCCATGCTCGGGTTCATCAGGGCCAGGCCCAAACCTCTGGTGTTAGTACTCGATGCTCCGGCACCTGAACTCGGGTCCAGAAAGGCCATGCTCGATCCCTAATGCTTGAGCTCTAGTCCAATCCTTAGGCCAGAGTCCAAAAAGACCTTGCACGGGTCCTCGGCGCTAAGACTCGGGTTGTTAGTTAATGGAATGTTTATTCTTATAAAAATATTTACAAAAATCGAATTTTTTATATTTTTAATTTTTTCTTTTATTTTTTGACTCCTTTTCTTTTCTTTTTCTTTTTTATTTTCTTTCTTTTACTTCCTCCTTCTTCCTCCACCGGCCACGTGCCTCGGCGTCAATTGACATCCTGGCAACCGGCCAAGATGCAGGCTGATGAGCTCGAGGCTCGGCCAATCTAGGCGAGCCTGAGCTCCCCAAGCCTTGAGCTCCATTGAGGCTTGCGAGTTCGCCGGCCGCCCAAGCTTCGTCGTGTCGGTGAGCTCACGGCTCGCTTGTGGCTGTCGTCGCCAGAGGAAAGGAGATGGGGATAGTGGCTAGGAAGTAGAGGAGCGATGGAGAGGAAGAAGCATAAAAGAAAAACCAAAAAGAAAAGAAATAGAAGGAAAAAAAAAAGTAAAAGTAATTTAAAATTAAAAAAAAATGCGATTTTTCTAAAATAATTTTCCTTTGAAAAATCAAATCATATTCTCCACATCAAATAACAGAAAATATTTTCAAATTGATTGTCAGATTTCAGCCAAATATCAAAACATAATTTTTAAGGAATGATATATTTTTTGCGAAATAAATGAATCCTAAATATTAGATGATGTCTGACCAAAAAAAAATATTAGATGATGAAAGAATAACGCCCTGTTGCTATGGGATAAGAGGTTCATGTTTCATCCGTCGATCCACTTTCGGTCCATGAAAAGTTAAGATGCCAAAAGCTACCCTTTATTCCAACTTTTTCGAAGGAAAAAAGTGCCAAAATACTCCCACGAAAAAGGTTCCAAAAAGATTTCACGGACGCCAATCGGGCTCTCATGCTAGGTGAACCCGATACTCCCTTTAGGGAAAAAAAAAAAAGATTATAAGCCTATTGCATCGTTCCAATTTAGTTATAATTTTTCAATTGGACCAAGTTAGTCACAAACCTTTTCGCGGCCCTCGCTTACCACGAGCAAGAACTAAATTAAAATGTTAGGATTGAATTGGTACTAATACGACAAGTTTATGACTTTTTTTGGTACTTCTCCCCTCGCTCTCAAGGAGGTGCCCATCAGAAGCGATGAATCATATAGAGACGAGATGTTTTCGCATGGTTTACGAACTATCTCTAGCCTAATATCATCTTAACCATTTATGTGAGATGCAATGACCGAGATGAGCTCAGTGTATAAATATTTTTTCAATGTTGTTGTCGACGAGTGCCCAATGTCACTGGTATTTAGAATTTATTTAGAATTTTCCCAATTTTCAAGACATTAACTATAATAATAATTACATATTAAATCATGCTTTCATCTAATAGTTTAAGCTTTTTCAACAATTGACAGTGATCCTACAAAATCTCACATGTTATTAGAGCTGGAGGTCCTAAGTCTAAATCTTTACAGGCCCTATTTGCCTCTCTAATTAAATATGTCCATTACTAGGCAAAAACAAAAAATTACACTGAACAAAATCTCATATTAACTGTGTATTTGGTTTGATAAGTGGTCCGAAATTTTTTTTAGGTCTATTTTATCTCTAATTCTTTTCACGCTCTGGCTTTTGCTCTGCCTCTTGCAGGCGCGAAAGTTGAACCCTGCACCTGTGATACTAGTATTTCCATCCCTTCAATCCCTTGAGGCCAGCTTTTAAATGTGATTTTAAAATACACTTTATCAAATACTACTTGCATTTTAGAAAATCTCTTTAGCCTGTATTTTACTAAAGGCATTTCCGTAAAGTTAAACCAAACGGGCTCTAAGCTGTATGTCTATTGACTAAACGGCCCTTTTTTTTTGTTTTTTTAGAGTGGGGGACACTTCCAGTGTTCCCACTGGACTTGAAATCCATCCTCTCTTCTCCTTTTTCTTCTGTCTGCTCTTCTTGGTTTGGGCTCCTCCCGCAGAATCCGAGTATAAACTTGCAAAGGAGGCCCTCTTCCTTACCACCCAGACAGCCGAAGATGGTGGTGAAATTAGCCACACCCTTCTCTTTTCAGGTCTCTCTCTCCCTCGTTTTGACACGCATCGCCTCGTTCGATTTGGCTCCCGTAGTTCCTTGTGATTTTTTTGGCTTTTTCCGCGCTTCTATGTCATCGTTTTCTGTGTGGATTTTTCTCTGTTGCTTGTGAGAGAGCTCAGGCTCCTCGTGGAGGCGAAAACCGGGTTTTTCTTTCTTGTAAAGACCGATGTATGTATGTGGTGCTGTTCTATTCCGACGGCACCGACAAGATCATGCGTCTCTGAGGAACGGTATTCAGAGTGCGAACTGGAATTAGGCTAGACCGTTTGAAATTGGTGAAGCCCAATTGCCCACAATCTATCCCGACCGAAAAGCTTTGGTGGCACTTACAATTTGTAGATTATTCGTTTGTTTAAGATTTTAAGGTTTGTGTTTTCGAAAGTGCCCTTGTCGGAAGCTTTTAGGATCGGTCGCGTAATGGGTTCCGATCGAGTTGACGATGGGCATCAAAATTAGATTGAAATGTGTTTACATGGGTGAATTCCTTTTGTTGGCGACCTGAACCAAGTGCATAGATTCATGCTCTTTCATTACCTTTTGGCTGTTGGGAACTGAGGATTCCAATTGGCAGATTGACTAGTTATACAGGCTTTTAGCTCTGCAAAGTCAAAAGGCTGCCTCTTTGGAACCTTCAGGAGCCAAATTGTGATGAAAATGATATCCTACTGGATGGATGCTTTGAAACTTGTGGTCTACGTACCTCTCGTGATATCATTGTCTGCCAGGAATTTTTTATTGCGTTTCTCCTGCATTAATTGGTGCTGTTAGAGGATTTGATAGCCATTCTCATGCTCATCCACCTCCTCCACATTATTCTTCAGGTATAGGAATCCTCTTGCGGGTATCGGTATATACATTGGAGCCAAAGAATACTTTGTGAAGGTGAAAATATGGCTGATGAGGATAGAGATCTTATTGAGATCTTGGAAGAACACAACCCAGTTGATATGGCCAAATATATCAATTACGTCAGCGCGCCGCAGGCTGGTGCCATCGCGACATTTTCCGGAACAACTCGCGACACATTTGAGGGTAAAACAGTCTTGGAGCTCCGGTATGAAGCGTACGTGCCGATGGCTGTACGGTGCATCAAGTCTGCATGTCAATCGGCTAGATCATCCTGGAATCTCATGTCCATCGCAGTTGCCCACCGCCTTGGCCCTGTCCCTGTTGGAGAAACGAGTGTCTTCATCGCAGTATCATCGGTTCACCGTGACGATGCGCTGGATGCTTGTAAGTTTCTGATTGACGAAATAAAGGCATCTGTCCCCATTTGGAAGAAAGAGGTATACACCAATGGAGAGGTCTGGAAGGAGAATAAGGAATTTTTGGAAAGGAAGTCGGAGCTCGAGAAAGGTGCTCGGGACGAATATCGCTGCAGGAAAAAATTAGAGAGCAACAAGCCGAACGGGCATGGCTGTTGCGGTGCTAAAGTCAAGATAGATGATGGCTGTGATGGAGACAAGAGAGAGGCTGAGTGAGAGAAGATTGTAGTTTACTTTTGCTGCTTTTAGCATTTTCCTTCATCTAGTGCAGATTTACTTTTGGTGCTTTTAGCATTTTCCTTCATCTAGTGCAGACCATTATAACTTAGAAGGATTGTGACGTAGTTCTCTGAGGTTGTAATGTCCGAGGAATGTATGTCGGCCTCGTCAAATCTGCAAGTGATTATGCTGAGAAACATGCGGGATGGAATGGGATACCGAAGTTTCTTTCTTTGCTGTTTATTACAGTGCTCAAACATGTTTCAAGGGATGCAGAATTTTCCAGTACTCATAGTCCCTGAGCCTGAGCGGCTCATTTTTCTCTCTCTCACCAACTGATGTTCTTTCCCTCAGCAGTTGATAATTCTGGGAGTATTGCGTAGAACCCATCATCTGCAGAAGGGGAAGGATCTTATAAAGCGGCTCAATTTTCGCTCTCACCAACTGATGTTCTTTCCCTCAACAGTTGATAATTCTGGGAGTACTGCTTAGAACCCATCTTCTGCAGAAGGGGAAGGATCTTATAAAGCGGCTCAATTTTCGCTCTCACCAACTGATGTTCTTTCCCTCACCAGTTGATAATTCTGGGAGTACTGCGTTACATAGTCATGGCCACGGTTCGGAACCGACCGGTTCCGGTTCGGAACTGGCGGTTCCGGTTCGTGGCCAAGCATGAACCGGAACCGGAACCGGAACCTCCCCTGGCGGTTCCGGGCCGGTTCATATTTTTTTTTTTTCTTTTCTTCCTCCGCCAGCCATAGCCAGATTTACTTAATAAATTATCATTAATCACATTATAATTCGTTACAACGATTTATAAAAAAAAAGAGCACAATATATATGCCATAAAATGACCCCAAAACCTAAGCATTCCGTGCGCAGGGGACCAGAGGTCACGTGTCGTCGGATTATATTTCGATTTTCCTAAGCTCACGTGGGCGTACCCGGTATGAGAAACAAGGGTTCCTGAAATATTTGCCAACTCCAATAGTTCTTTTACCCTCAATCGTCACTACCCGTTCCAGTACCGGTACCGGTACCGATAGTATCTCCGTTGTTAAAGAATTCGGATTCACTATTCCGATCTATCTCTTGTTGCCGGTATTGAGCCTTTGTCCAATCAGCAACATAAGCTTGAATCTCCACTGATTTTGGAGATAATCTTGAACGATGTTCGTCCAAAATATTACCTCCGGCACTGAATGCTTGTTCGACCGCAACTGTGGAACAAGGGGTTGAAAAAATCTGTTTTGCAATAAGAGAAAGGATTGGATATTGGCTTGCGTGCCTCTTCCACCAATCCAAAATTAAAAAATCTGTACCACCTTCGGATTCAGTAAACTCAAATGAAACGGTTAGATAAATCTCTAATTCAGAAATATTTCCTATTACTCCCTTTTATTTTTTTTGTCTATGTAATAAAAGTTGGTACCCTCTACTAATTTTACATGTACTGTCATTTTGTATCTCCGTAGATCGAGAAGATCCAATATCACCTAAATTATATTTAGCATAAAATTCATTATATAATTCTATTACTACATTTTTAACCTCACGTATTATGGTTGTAACATTTATCGCATCATAATGTAAACATTGATAATACGTACGCAAAAAATCATTTAAGCCATCCAATTTGCAACGCGGATAAAAAACACAAGCAACTAAATAAATAATGGGAATTTCCCTATAATAATGTAGCCACATCATTTTCATTGCAACTATAGTATGTTGCAATTCAACATCATTTTCATATTCATAAAAAATTCTGACAATATTAGTACACTCTACTAAAAATAAATGTGTAGTAGGATAATAAACACCGGACAAAGTATAAGTTGCATCATTAAAAACCTTTAAAACATCTAAAATTTTTTGGCAAATATCCCACTCTTGTGGGTATAAATTAATCTCAGGTATATTATTAGAAATAAATGCACATAATAAATCTTTATATGCTAAAGATTCATTAAGCAAGTGAAAAGTAGAATTCCAACGAGTTGGAACATCTCTTGGAAATCTTTTTGGCCTTTTGCCATTTTCTCAACAAAATCTACCCCATTCTTTCATTTTCTGGGGATGTTTTCATAAAAATTGAATCGCCGTTTTTATTGGTTGAAGAAAAATATCAAGAGTTTTCAAACCATCTTGTACACATAAATTTAAAACATGACAAGCACATCTAATGTGAAAAAATTTTCCGCCAAAAGCGGGTTTACAAATATTTTCTAAATCGGCAATTGAAGCGGTATTTGCCGCAGCATTATCAAAACCAATTGAAAAAATTTTGTTAAGCAAATAATATTCTTCTAAAATTTGCCTAATTATTCTATAAATATTATTTGCCGTATGCTTTATCATCGAAAACTCTATATGCAATAACTCTTTTTTGAATACTCCACTCGTCATCTATCCAATGACATGTTATGCCCATGTAAGAATGATTTTGCCAATGATCACTCCAAATATCACTACCTATATGCACGCATCCATTAAATTGCATAAAAAAGTTTTGTAAATCTTTTCTTCCATTTTTGTAAAGATCTTTAATTACTCGTTTAATTGAATTTCTAGGAACACGTTTTGCTTGCGGAGCACATGCTTTTTGTACAAATTCATTAAAACCAAATCTTTCTCCAAAATTAAATGTTAAATGCTCAACGGAAATAAATTTGCCTAATTCTTCCTTATAAGTTTTTTTCATTAAAACGAAATAAAGGGGAAGTGTTAGGATTGACGTACCCGGAAATTTGTTGTTGCCCGATATCGATTCCCGTTTCGGTTGGATGTTTGCTCGTCGTTTAAATGTTCCATTTGCTTGTCCACCTGTATATTTATATATTTTCCCACAATATTTACAAATTATATCATACCTTTTTTCACCAATATCAAACCTTTCCATTTTCGTGAAATGATTCCAAATGTCAGATGTAAATTCCTGTTCCACTTCCTTTGTTGTAGATATTTCGGCAGGAGGATGAAAACTTTCTTGCGTCGGGACGCGCTCCACATCGGGAAAAATGTTGATTTCATCATCTTGAAAATCTGCATATTCACGAGGATCAAAAGAATGATGGGATTCCGTCGCGATATTCTTACCTTTGCCAGTTGGCACTCGACTTCCACTTGCCATTTTTCGAGTGGATTGAGAGAATTGAGCGAATTAATTGGGAGAATTAAGAAAGAATTGCGTGTATTGAGAAAATTGAGAGAATTTAAGAGAATTTGAGAGAATTTCGACTATTGAGAGAATTTGAGAGAATTGTGAGTATTGAGAGAATTTTACGGTTATCTTATCTTTTTTTTTATTATAGTTTTTTGCCCGTTTGGGCGTTGGCCGTAGGCTGCCCTGGCCCTGCAGGGCAGTGCAGCGTGCAGGCCCTGCTGCGGGCGCCTGGGGGAGTGGGGGGGTTTTTTTTTTTAAAAACCCTGCTGCGGCCCGTTGCCCGTTGCCATGAGGGGCAGCAGTTTTTTTTTTCTTTTTTTTCGGAACCGCCGGTTCCAAAACGCGGACCCGGTCAACGGGCCGGGCCCGGGTTTGACCGGTATGGTTCCGGGCCGAAACCGGCCCGTGGCCACCACTAACTGCGTAGAACCCATCTTCTGCAGAAGGGGGATGATCTTATGAGGAACTATGCTCTAGTGACTAGAGCCTGAATTATGGAGACTGCTAAGAAATAGAAGTCACCATGAGGAAGCCTGCTATGGATGACCAAATCTACGTTTCTTTCATTCCCCCAAGTTCACTTTTTCTTTCCTGATTTCCTGTTACCCCCGCATTATTCCTATACTCTGAATTCAACTTCTTATCCTATTCCGCTTTGGCTGTAGCTTGTAATCGAGTTCAAGTCAATAGTCGCGTCAGGATAGGCGTTCCGATGCGATACGATATATCAACCTAAACCCGAACCCAATCCCCTTCCTTCTGTCCTCGCTTGGCCTTCTCCCTTGCCTTCTGTTGGATTTCCTTTCTTCCCCTGTCGATCTCGCAGCAGCCTTATCTTTTCTTTTCCTTTGAATCCTCTCTTTTTTTTGGTAAAGAGAGCTTTTTCTTCATCTTTTATCGAGACTCTATACATTTTATCATCCAAAACCTCTTCATTAGCTAAATCCAAGTCTCCTAGAATTGCTTCCTTGGCCCAGCCACGGGTTGCAGTAACGAAACCTTTCACTTTTGATCAGGCTGCTAAGAAATTAAAGTCAACTTGGGTGAGCCCGTTGCTTCTCTATTGTTCTTCATGTTGAAATTGAAGAACAAATTGAGGTACGTCTAAAATTTGATGACCATTCATACTTTCTATATCCGTTGCTTCTTTCCTACTTTCCTATATTCCCCAAGTTAAATTTTTGAAGAGAACAAAGGGGAAAAAGATAAGGCCTAATGGGGCCCGGGCGAAAAGCCCCAAATAGAGATTCATTTTGACTCGGCTGGATTATCCCCTTCATTGTCAAAATGGAACCGTTTTAGGACTTGCTCAGGTCCGGTCTCAAAGAGGAGAATAGAGGGGAAAAAGCTGAGTGAAATATCCACGAGAAGTCAGTAACAGCAAATCCACACATTCATCAGTCATTTTTCACATGATCTCCAACGAAAATCAGTCATCACTAAGAAAGCTAAGATCATAAAAGACACATGATCTCTCTCCTCCCAAATACACAAGCAGGAAACTTCTCTCTACAACTGAAGACACCCCCCAACCGGTGTCCTGCAGAATGAAAACTGGCCCTAGCAATGAGCGTCTCACGGTGTTTTAAATCCCTAATGGGGCCCGGGGGAAAAGCCCCAGTAGAGATTCATTTTGACTCGGCTGGATAACCCCACCCTAGGATTATCCCCTTCATTGTCAAAATGGAACAGTTTTAGGACTTGCTCAGGTCCCGACTCACAGAGGAGAATAGAGGGGAAAAAGATAATGCTCATGGACCCTCTAAGAGACAATATGCTACTTCCACAAGCTGAGTGAAATATCCACAAGAAGTCAGTAACAGCAAATCCACACATTCATCGGTCATTTTTCACATGATCTCTAACGAAAATCAGTCGTCATCACTAAGAAAGCTAAGATCATAAAAGCCACATGATCTCTCTCCTCCCAAATACACAAGCAGGAAACTTCTCTCTACAACTGAAGAATGAAAACTGGCCCTAGCAATGAGCGTCTCACGGTGCTTCAGCCGATAGGCTTTTGGCTGGCGCTAGAAGAGCCACACCACCTCGATCGGGACTCGAGAATTTCCTATAAGCAGCTTTCAGCTTACTTTCTGTAGCCGCTGAGTGCAAGCCAACAAGAAGCTTTGCACACTCCCTGTCCACAAAAATGAAGCACTTCAACATCAATGATAAACAGACATATATCACCATCCCAATTCAAGAGATGGAAGATGAGTGTGACCATGATATCAACTCACATTAGCTGATCTGCAGAATACCCTGTATGGTGCTTCAAGGTTTCAGTCCAGAATGGGTGTTTCCCAAGGGTGCACCGGGCTGCATAAACTGCTGATGCAGCGATCATAGAGGGGCAATAGAGAATTATTGTGGAATAGTGCATTAAACCCAACTCGGCCAGGAATAACACCATGTTCTCCATCTGCATTAGCAAAAAAATTAATGGTCACTTCAATGAAAAAACACAGCATTAATACACTAATTTAGGACAGGGTTTTTACCTCCTTATCAGATGAATTAGAGGCTTTGATGTATCTGATTAGAAAGACATATGGTGTGGGAACCGTCAGATACCATTCCAGCTTCTCCAATATTGATTTCTCCATGACTAGCACTTGTTCTCTAACATAAGCATTGTCTGATATGAATACAAAGTCATTGACCTGCACAAAAACCGAAATCCAATTTCAAAACTTCCTCAAAAAAAACTTTATGGTGAAGCAAATCAGGATGAGTTAGGGAAAAAGGCAAGGACCTCCGGTGCCCAAATCTCTTCATACTTGGATGCTATGAGCATCGCACTTATGCCGACCAACTGAAGCTCCCGCTTGCGGACCACTTTCATAGAAAGGTACCGGTCGACTATGTTTACAGTGAGATACAGAGTTTCGGGCATGAGTTCGAACTTGCGGTGAACTTCTATCAGCCAGTCCATTAGGATCATTCTCATCTTGACATTGATTTCCAGTTGGTTATCCATGTAATCATGTGCTCGACCATCGCCCTGTTGAAGTGTTAGATGAGTGAGCAATACGAAAGCACATAAATGTGCACATATATCAGAAGATGACATTCTGCCAAAAAAAATTACTTCTGTGAGTTTGTAGAACTTGTAGATATCATCGATGTATTCGACCATGGCCAACTCATCATTAGCATCAGCTTCATCAATGTCCACCAAGCAGTCCTTAGGCTTATTAGCTAGCCCACAAGCAGCCTAAATGTGAACAAGAATTACTTTATCAACAGAACAATAAGCAAAAGAGTAACAATAGCAAAACATACATAAAGAGGGTACTGTGATAGTATGATAACAGTTTTCGAATTTTACCTTGCTTCGTGCCGTGAGAACAGAAGTGAGACTCTTCTTCTTGGAGGACCCTTCTTTGAGTACCCTCCTAACAGCAACTTTACAGTTCTCTTCTTCAGTGGAGCTTATCATAACAACAGACTCAGGTACAGGCTTATCAAGGGCCTTCTCTTTGGTTGCAGCTGTTACTTCTGTCACTGTTCTTTTGTTTGCTAATGCACGATCTACAGCTTCTTTGAGTCCCCTTCTAACGGCAACTTTACCGTTCTCTTCTTCTGTGGAGCTTATCACAACAACAGGCTCAGGTACAGGCTTGTCAAGGGCCTTCTCTTTGGTAGCAGCTGTCACTTCTGTCACTGTTCTTTTGTTTGCTAACGCACAATCTACGACTTCTTTTGCAATTTTCTAACACACAAGAGAGTGATGGTGAGCTAAACTTTGCAACTTTATTCTCATTAACACAAGTCGAAATGAATTGACACATATAAATAGGCCCCAAGTTTATACCTTGTCCTTCTGGGCCGCTTGTGCCTTCGCCAGTAGTTGAGCCTCAAAGTTCCTGCAATGTAAGACCAATGAGAGAGAGAGAGAGAGAGAGAGAGAGAGAGAGAGAGAGAGAGAGAGAGAGAGAGAGATGAGTTTAAGAGAAGAGTTAACCTTGTGACGGGGCGAGAAATTTGAGCGCCTGGTTTCGCTTGAGCAGCTCGCTCTGACACTAGATTACCGATATCCTGAAGAACTCGCCTGTGCCTTGCTTCTCTGGCCACATTCTTCTGATTTTCTCCTCCTACAAGTACCCGGAAAAGTTTAAGAATGAGTCAAGACTCGAGAACTCTTGGAAGAACCCACTATCAAAAACTAGCCATCAAGGTGAGAGACCCTGAATTCTTTATGTTAAAACTCTCTGCGTCACCAACCTTAATTTCATTTTCACGTTACAGTATCGCCTCACAAAACAGAGTACTAACGAGAACACCGAGAATGATTGATGTAAAATTGCCTTGCGTGAAGGACACACAGAATTCAAACCCTCGAATTGCTGACAAAGATCGCTCGTGGCTTTCACATAATCTCCACCAAACCGAACTCAAAATTCACACCCAAATGAAAAAACTCTTCATTTCGTAGAAGGGTTCGAAAAACACCCACTAACGATCTGATCAAAGAAGGAACGATCATGGAGTCAAAGATCAAACTTTTCGAAGCCAACCAACCTCTGGGTTGTTGACCAACAGCTCTCGCGGCCATTTCTTCTCGCCCCCTTCCTCCTCCTCCTCCTTCCTCCTCGCAATTGGTCCCGAAGACTCCTCCGATGCTCGCGAACAGCGCCGACAGAAACCCCTGGAGACGGCCGTTCACCGTCGCCTCGCCTTCTGCTTCCGCGGACGCCACCCTCGAAACCTCGCGGTCGGTCTGCAGAAATCTATCACCACCCCCACCAACACTTCTCTCCCTTGTTTCGTTTCAAATTTGATCTCTCTCTCTCTCTCTCTCTCTCTCTCTCTCTCTGTGCGTCTCTCTAGGTTCTTTGTTGAGCGAGTGAAGTGCTGTGACTTGGGAGAGCCTCTCTCTCTCTCTCTTTTCGCCATGGTGGTTTTTAAAGGAATCGACGCCATGCCCAACGGTCCAATATCCTGTGGCGAGATCTCTGCCGTTGGATTGAGAGGATCGAGCGGCTGTTATTCGCATTGATGGGACTCCCCTATTTTGGAATTTTGTAGCCGTTGGGTTTTCTTGGACGGGGCGGGGCGGGGCTTTTCTCGGGTGGGTTTGGGATTGGACCCGAATCCTGTTGTTTTAGTTAGGGCTGTGCAAATAGACCGGCTCGATCCGGCAGCTGGACCAGACCACCTTGAAAACCTGTTTGGTTCTAGGTTCCCGTTCGAACTAGTCCGGCCCCGGTTTCAAATTTTTGGAATAAATGGGAACCGGTCTTGTTTCTTGTTCCGAGTGAAGAACCACCCGGGAACCAGACCGACTAGACCGAATGTGGAACCGATTTATACGACTTTATTTTTTGGTCAAGTATTTCATACAAATTAAAAGGCTTAGTTTCTCTTGGCATCTTTTTTTCTATCTCTCTCTTTCTCTGTTCTCTCAAATCTCACTTAAACACTTCACGACTTTCTCTCTCTCGCTCGCGACTCACCCTCCTCCTTTGCTCGCTCGCTTACTGCTTGTTCGAGTATCGCAAGCCTCGCTCGTTCCTAATCATTTTTGCTCGCTCGCCCTCGTTCATTTTTTATTTTATACCCTTTTATTGCTCATATTATTTTACTATAAAAAATGATTACAAAAAAAAAAGAAAAACAGGTTCTCGGGTAAACCCTGGAACTAGGCCCGAAAAAAAAGGTAAGCTTTAGGTTCCAAAAAATATGACCCGATTCTAACAAGGTAGATATCATATTCCAAGTCTGAAACCTACTCACCCTGAAACCGATCACCTATAATTTTATTATTTTTCCCTTTTATTTTCCACAACACGGCAAACCGATGAAAAACTCATGGCTCTTCAAATTCATGGATATATGGAAGAGTTTCATACGTTACCCATTAGACTTTTCGCCAAAGTCATTCACCCCTTTTCACCTAATAATCCCAATTTGAATCCAAAGAGGAAATTAAAAAGAGAGAAAAAGGGATTGGACTTGGACCCTCAAAATTGCGTCCTTCATTCCCTTACAATGTAACAAGATCTAAAAGGAATTGCCCCCCCTATAAAAGGAAAAAGAATATCACAAAAAGAAGCAGAAACGAAAAAACGAAAACAAAAAAGAATGAATAATTACAAAGACAAATCAATGTGACACGATTGTCTCAAAGCAGTGCAACCCATCAAACTCCAATGCAATGCAATGCCCTGTCGCTTCATCCCTCTCCTCTGTTCTTGCATTCTCGTCACATCCTTGCTCTTCCTCATCATCATCGCTCCTCTTCCTCTCCATGTCCATTGTGGCATTGTGGAGATAACACTGGCGATGATCCGCCCAAATCAAACCCAGTTCAAATCAGACATGCATACATTCACCAGAGGAAAAGGAAGAAAAAAGAGAGAAAAATTTACAGTTTCCTTTTACCTCCTCTGTGAAGATCGCCAGGGAAGCAAAATCCGTGGACAGAGACATTTTCTGTCTTCTCCTTGCTTTCCAAATGGCGGGTCTATCCGAACAAGAAGCAGATTATCTTGGTAAGAGGATTGCAGGAGGAGAAATTTCTGAAATCGAGAGCACTGCCTTCTTATATATTGCATAGGTCTGGTGGGTCTCTCCCTCTCGTTTTCTCCTGTGGCCACACAAAGATGAGAGGTTGAAAAGACTGCAAATACCTGTTTTGGGAAGCAAGGAAACCGGATCACACCGGGTTTTGCTACTCCAGTCACTTGTCATTTTGTCAAGCGATTGCGATGCAATGCGATTGTTGTCGATTACGTTAACGTTCCGTGTGAGACTCGGGCGTAATGTACGAGTTGACGTGTGCGGTCTTTCGTGAAAGGTTTTGCAACGAAACTTACTTTGTCTTCTTGTAAGATTTGAAATCTGGATTGAAGTCAATCACCGCGAAGATGGTAAAATTGAGTAAAACTCGGTAAAAGAAAAATCCATACGCACGAAATTCATTTTCTGGTCTCAGCCTATCCAAGCCCGCCTAAGGCCAATTGATTTTATTTAGAAAACTCGTGACTGCTTTAATCATGAGCGGTCTTGGATAAGGATCTTCGGGCCTTGTGCTAGGCCCAATCGACGTCAATTTTAGGTTTTAACTCTAGCCATTAATTTTTATAATCACGAGACACACTGATGAGGTCAAAGAAAGATAATAATCCGAAAGTGGTATTCGATTCTAATGTTAGGGTTGATCATGGGCGGGGGGGTGGCCTGCCAGGCTACCCCAAACTCGGTCGAGCCCTATTGGCTCGAACGGCAAAATGGGCAAGCTTGAGTAGGTAATTTATCATATCGGGTCCAGCCCAGCCAATCCCTTTCAAACCTGATCAAATTATAAAAGAGAAAAATTTATATTCATTTTTTCGAAATATGGGCGGACCTTCGTAAGGAATTTTAGGCTCCGTACATATAAAATGTAGTGCTTTTGTTAACATTGCATCTCTATTTAAAGGAAAACTGTTTTCGGGAAATTATTTTCCGCCTTTCTGGTATTTAGACGACGAAAAACTGATCGACCTATAGAAAATATTTTCTACGAACAGAATTCAAACAGCTTCCCCTCCAGATAAGAAGGAAATCGCTTTCCCTAAACGATTAGACAAATCAAAACTAACTATTTCTTTTAAGAATGATTTTTCATAAAAAAAGAAAAATACCTTCATTTCAATCAAACAAACCAACCCTAAAAATCTCTTTCAAAGTCGTGGAGGTGGAGGTGCCTTCACGAAAAGAAACGCCTCACATGATCGAGTTGAAAAAGGACGGGGGGTGGTTCCTTGTCGGATCCTCAAAAGTCCCGTTGGCATTGTCCGCGTGCGCGTCACGTGCAACGGTGCTCGAGAGAGCCAGAGGGAAATAACAATGATAGCAGCCACGTGCCAAAATAAATCTACTGTTAGGGGAGCGAGCGAAAGAGTCATAGCTTCCGGCGCAATCTATGAAAATGGTCCAAATTCCCTCATTATTATATTCCCTGCCAACTCCTCCTTCCTTTCTCTTGTCCCCTCTATAAGATGCTCTAGAATTGGAAAGCAAAACTCTGCATATTTACATAGAGATTTGTTCGGTTCTGAGGACAAGCCAACCGAATCGCAGCTCGAGAAAGCGAGACTCCGATTCGGTCCGGCCCCCGAAGCGGCGCGGGTTCGCATTCTCCAACTGGGCGAGGCCGTCCGAGCTGGATTCGTCTATCTCGGAAATCGAATAACTCGAACCCGACACATTCAGCCTCATCAAAATGGATCATTGACCTATTTCTTAACTCGTATCTGATGAGCTGAGTTGTTATATGGATTAGTTATATTCAGTATAAGGGTCACAGATGGGTTACGGATATTATTAAATGGGTTCGCGTCTTATTTAGATTTAACCCACCTCTTTGACTCGCTATTCATTCTCTTTCAGCCTCACTCGATCTTGCGTTTATTTGCTCCGTGCTCTAACTTCAGTTGAGTTTTCCTAGATTTGGTCAAATACAAAAGTGTTCTAGCAATATGGATCGGTATGGTTACTAGATTTGCATTAAATAAAAAAGAGTCAAAATGAGGTAAATGAGTCAATTTAGGTCGGACTATTTTCTATCCGATCCACTTGTTTGACAAGTCTCGATACGATGGACGGAACGTGAAGCCACGAGAGGATGTACGTCGAAGTTTTTACGTTGTCAAAAGATTGCTCGTATTATTGTGGCCGAGACCAAAAGATGCTCCCACTTTCGTTCGTCATGATTAGGACGGAGAAGATCTTACAACCATGTAATTATTAAATTTCATATAGGTAATGCACGTTTGATTTCTTTATCGTTGTCCAAGTACTTTTGGAGCTGTTTCTTTTTCTTGGGATAAAGCCACGAGTCCCTAAACTTTTTCGATTTGAGTGATGTTGTCCATATGCCTCTTCATTTGTGCAATCGAGTCCGTAAATTATAGGTTTGTCTGTTCATTTGGTCCTTCCGTTGGACAACGTAACGGATTAGATGACACGGCTGTTAAATGGTCGTTAAATGCCCCCGCCGGCATCTATAGGAAAAGAAAATCTTCGAAGTCATCGATGGTTATAGTCTCTAGCGGAGCACGAGGCGAGTTATGGGCGATCGGTTTCGGGATGGGTAGGTTCCGGATCTGTTAGAGTCGATTTTTTCTGGAACTGGCCTAGAATCGACCTGGCCGGTTCCAAGATTAACCAAGGACTTGGGCTTAACTCAAATTGATGCGACTATTATTTTAGGAAGACACATTATGAGAACAATCCGTGACATAGTAGTTAAGCCATTGATGGATTTTCTAGATTGTCTAGGTTCGAAGCTCGTATCCAGCAAATCTATCTTCTTTTTAAGCAAAGTAAGAAAAGAATAAACTAATCATTCAATTGTCGAGCCACGAGAAGCTAAGACGGGCATTTTTACGGTATAAAATCGTTCAATTCCCGAGCCATGAAAAGCTAAGACGGGCGTTCAGCGACAAGCTAGCCCAATCGGATGGATCGTCTCTAACCGAGCCAAAGACGAGTGAATGTCACTTAACGTCCATATCAGCATTTTTAGTAAGGTTTTTAACAGAAGGATTAACATGAAAATATATATATATAAGGGCATTGCACGGTAAAAAGAAGAACGAGATTTTTAGGTATGAGATTGCACGAATTTTAAAATAAAAAAATTAAAGGATCTCCGATGGATTTATCCTCTGCGTTCCTTTTCTTTTCTCCTTTTGTTCAAAAGTCTTTTCGGAACGTGACGATAATTTAGACATACGTAAATGAATTTAAATCGGCGAGAAATTAGTCAGACCGTGACATTTAGTTGGTATATTAACCATCAATGTTTCTTAAATAGATTACGATGTGGTGATAAGAAGACCCTCTCATCTCCGTCAAATCTTTACTTTTCAAGTCTTTTCGACGTCCCAGGCTACCGGAGGAGAATCGGCCCGGCGACGAACCTACCCCGCCGCCGACCGGGGCGCGGCGGGCTTCCGTCCACCGCCGCCCGCCTCCTCCCTCCCTAGAGAGAGAGAGAGAGAGATTTCACTCGATTTCTTTACTTTTTTCTTCCTTCCTTCCTTCTCTCTCTGTCTGTCTCTCTTCTCACTCGCTCACAGAGAGAGAGGGAGGGAGTGAGGGAGATGTCGGAGAGCTGCAACTCTCGCCATTTCTCATGGCTCATGAAGTCCTGCTTCCCCAACCCTAACGACAAATCCCTCTCCCCCCACCACCACCACCAACACCACCAGCCCCTCAAGGTCGCCGCCCCTACCCTCTCCTCCCTCCCCGACGACCTCCTCCTCGAGTGCCTCTCCCGCCTCCCCGCCACCTCCCTCCCCGCCGCCGCCTCCGTCTGCCGCCGCTGGTCCCGCGTCCTCGACTCCCCCGCCTTCTCCGACCTCCGCCGCCTCCACGGCCTCCTCCGCCCCTCCGTCTTCGCCCTCTCCTCCCTCGACTCCGCCCTCCTCTCCGCCTCCCTCCGCCTCGACCCCGGCCCGGGCCCCGATCCACTCTGGCGCGTCTCCCTCTTCCTCCCCGACGGCGGCGGCGGAGGAGGACTCCCCCCCGCGTGCTTCCAGGGCCTCGTCGCCCACGCGCGCCTCGCCGCGATCGGCCCGAGGATCTACATCATCGGCCGGAATGCCGTCGCCCGCTACGACACCTGGACCGGGACCGTCGCTTCCAGGTCGCCCATGACGTTCCCGAGGAAGAAGTTCGCCGTCGCGGTGCATTCCGGGCGAATCTACGTGGCCGGCGGCGGCGGGAGGACCTCGGCGGTTGAGGAGTACGATCCGGATTGCGACGTGTGGAGCGTGGTGTCGCACGCGCCGAGGAGGCGGTACGGATGCGTCGGCGCTTCGGTGGACGGCGTGTTCTACGTGATCGGGGGCCTCCGGATAGGCCCCCCCACGGCGGGGGGGACCGACCCGTCGCGCGCCGCCGGGGCGGAGGCGCACGTGTACGCGAGCTCGATGGACCTGTACGACGTGGAGGCGCGGGGGTGGCTGAGGAGCCGCGCGGTGCCCGGCGGGGGTTGCGTGGTGGCGGCCTGCGCCGCCGTCGGCCACGTCTACGTCCTGGCGAGCCACGCGCTGGAGCTGTCGTTCTGGAGCTTCGACGCGCGGCGGAGGGGCGGGGGGTTCGGGGAGTGGAGCCGGGCGAAGAGCCCGCCGCTGCCGGCGCAGGTGCGGCTGGACTCGACGGTGAAGTTCAGCTGCGTCGGGGCGGGGGACAAGGTGGTGCTGGTTCAGGCGGCGGGGTGCATCGACGACCTGCTGAGGAGGAGCGGGAGGAGCGAGAAGGGACTGAGGGAGGGGCTGGTGCTGGTGTACGACACGGCGGCGGGGGAGTGGAGCAGGGGGGCGGATCTGCCGGAGGTGATCGCACGCGCCGCGTGCGCGTGCGTGGAATGCTAGGTGCGAATCTGCCTAAAAATGTAGTGTGTGCATCCCGTGGGTGTGTGTGTAGCGAGAGAAGCAGACAAGATTATCTGATCTGTTGAAAGTGGAAAGGCCATGGGCTATCGTGTAGGATAACGAGACGCGTGGCGCGTGAACCTCACTCGCGTCGTTTAGCCTTCTTCTATCTGTCTTAATTTGATTGATTAAGGAGGTTTCTTAATTTGTATTTACTTCTTTTTTTCTTATCTTGGGTCTAAATTTGTATTCACTTATTAAATGTTGCTTTTCTTTTTACTGCTTTTTTGGGTCGTATTTCTTTTTTTCTTTTTTTGTACTGTCTTCGTTCAGCGATATGTACTTTGGGAAAAGAGAGAAAAAGGAAAGGCGAAAAAGTAAGAGTAGTAGTTAAAAAGTGGAGATGCAGGGGATCGAACCCTGTACCTCTCGCATGCAAAGCGAGCGCTCTACCATTTGAGCTACATCCCCTTTCCGGTAAGCTTTCCTCATTTTTTATCTATTACTCAAATTGTTCGCAACAATTATTGTTATAATGCCTTCTTCTTTTGGTCCAATTCTTTTCTTTGTCGCTCCACTTTTCCTTGGCCGTCGTGTGGTACATGTTCTTTCTCATCTTTAGATATCTCCATCCCCTTTCGCCCAGACTTGAGGCTGTAGATTTGATCTCGTTATGGTCATTGATTTCGTGATGAAATCTACGGTGAAGCCTACATGATTAACAATTACGATAGACTTTGAGTACGTACAAGAATTCCCACTTTACACCGATATACCCTTTCAACCCAACCAACAGTTCACCTTCCCATCCAAAAAGAAAGGTCTAGAGATAGAAATCTAGATGTTGACTAACATAATAAGCAGCAATATACCCGGCTGAAGGAAGGAAAAGAAAAGCACTAAACGAGCAACAAGGCCGACATTAAAAGAAACAGGGACAAGCGAGGGGACATAAAAGAAACGAGATGATTACCGTTTTCACTGCTCCCTTTGTTTTAATCCGTTCTGTAATCGCTTCGTAGTCTATGCTATTGAAATTAGTATCTTTTTCAATAGAATGGCCAGACGATCTCATTCATCAGTTGGATTTCCCATTCGGTCGCACAAGCGAGCCCTCACGACATTGATTGCAGAACGAATTAGAGTTGCAGAGAGAGAGAGAGAGAGAGAGAGAGGGAGAGAGAGAGAGAGAGACTCTCAATTAGTATCGTTGGTTGCTGATCGAAGATGATTGGTCAAAGCAAAGTCGAAAGTGGCGTTTGGGTTTCAAGTTTGAGAGAAGAGAAGCCCACTGAAACATTCTTCATGCCAACTCTTCGCGTGGAATCAGTTCTTTTTTCAAGGAAGTTTTAGGTTGCGTTTGGTTCAATTTTCCCAAGGACTTTGAGTCTCTAAAGTCCCTTGGGAAAAGATAAAGGTATTTGGCCAAAAATTTTTGGGTCACTTTGGGAAAATGTCAACATTGGTAAAGCTAAAAGCTTAAGGCAGATAAGGACTACCCGTCGAGTAATGATAGCTATATTATCCAAAACCGCCACCATACCAACGAGTAATTTACCTATTCACGACCAATGCAAAGAGGGCTTATTGATTCATGACCCTTGATGAATATTTGATTAGTGTAAATAGCCACGATCGACTTAGACGGGCTTGGGCTGACCGCGGCAAATTAGGCCCAAAGGTGCGTCGATTGGAATTTTTTCTAATTATCACGTAACCTACTAACGGACACCAAAAGGTTCAAAACATCTAATATTCTCGTTGACCGATTCCAGAGCTTGCTTTGGATTATAAACTATATATGGGAAGGGGGGAAACTCCGATGCGAGACAAGAGTATCACTTTTCGAAGGGAAAGATCCCGGCATGGCAAAGCGATCGCGCATTGATCATAAACAAATTGAGGGAACCAGATTCCGTGAGCGTGACCATCAATCAAATGGGGGATGACTTTGAATTCAATTCAAATACGAGAGAGCGGCGGTGGCGGAGTTCCATGAAAACGTTAACAAGAAGTTCACGTTGGTCCTTTTGGCCACAAAGACTAAATTCAGGGGAAAGTTTAGGCCAATATCCCTCCTTTGTCTCCACCGGCTCCTTTGACTCCACCGGATTTCCCTTTAGGTATTAGGCTTAATTTTGGGATTCTTAGGAACTTTTTCGGTTTTTCTTCGTCGACCCTTTCGCATGTTTTGCGGTCTCCATTAATGTTAATGTCGGATCCTTGTGCCTATCGCGCGATGTGAAGGCCAAGGAGCACGTGAAATTTCTCTTGAGGGAGGAGGACGTTTGGTAAGAAATCCGAATACATACATCGGCCTGCTCATAATCTGATCACATGATATGGGCTCCATCATATTCGCTCTTTTCGCAACAATATAGCGACGATTCACGAGAGAGACTTAATCTTTGTGAAACGATTATATCGCTCCAGTAACGGAGATTTAGTTCATATCGCCCTTTTTATTATTATTTTTCTAACAAAATGATGGCATGACAGGAGATGGAACTAACTTCACACGTTGGAGCAAATTGGAATCGTCAACTGCGATTGCTTCGTTGCCAATCCCAATTCCCATGTTCAAATCTTGCTCTTGAAGCACCAAACTCAAAAGCCAATTCACGATATGAGGAAAAGTCAACACCCAATCCCATTTGACCGAGATTCTTCTCATTGGCGCCACCCTGGCATGCCCACCACCCCACCTGCTCGAGCCAATACTAGTGACCGAAAAGTCAAGCAAGTTGCGGATTGGGTTGCCGAAGCCCATCGAAATAAAATTCTTACTACCAATTGGTTGTCGTTACCCCCTCTACCTTTTAGAAAAATTTTATGTTCGGAAACTCTCATGTCCAAGCCTAAAAAAAAAAATTAGCCGAATCGAAGACCAAGCCACGCCCCAAAGATCAAAGCAGTCTTTCGATTCCCAAGGATCTTATGTGAGACCCTATCGATTTAACGGTCCATACTAGACCCATCAAATGAGTAAGTCGGGTCGAAAATTATCCGATCCAAATTGATCCATTTAATCCGTTCTAACCAATTTCCATTCAATGCAAATATAGTGACTCATACCCATCGAAACACATCCAAATTTAATTTAAACTGAGGTGAGAGTGTGAAATGAGTAATCTCGAGATCGATCGAGGGCGAGAGAGTCGTAAATGTGGGTTGGGCCTATCTAAGTTATGAACCCATTTAACACCCATATTTTCGTGAATTTTATCATTCTAAACCCAATTATGTCTCATAAACTAAATATAATTAACTCATGTAATAACTCAGCCCATCAAAAACGGGTTAGGAATTTAGTCAATAACCCATTTTGACAGATCTAATCTACACCTGCAAATCGATATCTTTCCAGGATTCGACTTGACGCGACACGAAGCAGCGGCACCTTCGAAATTTCCGGGATTGTAACATCTGACGTGGATTTGAGATTGAATTAAATTAAACAGTTTGAAAAGAAAATAAAAGAAGGGTCAAGTGGCGAACATGATTTGTTCTTTTTTTTCTTTTGGTCATACGCGAACATGATTGGTTAACGGTGGAAAAATCTATAAAACAGCGACCCAAAAACGAAAGGCCACGGCGAGCAGCCTTCTGTTCATACGACAGCGCTATCAAATTGAAAACGATTCGCTTTGGCTTCTTCTCTCTGTTTCATAATTATCTTTTGGTAGACCGCGAGAGAGACTCCGAAGTCAAGGAACAATGTCGTCGACGCCGACGCCGGGAGGTATTCGCGAAGTGGAGGGGAAGGAGAACAGCCTCGAGGTCGTGGGCCTCGCTCGCTTCGCCGTCGAGGAGCACAACAAGAAGGAGGTACTTGGAATTTGATCCGGTTTGATGGGTGATTGGAATTTGATGAGATTTTCGTGGGTTTTGTATGGGTTTTTTTTGTTTTTCTTTTTTGTCTGAAACGATTGCTGTGGTTGAGCTAATCATGAGCGATGCTGACGATAAAGAAGGGATTTTGGGATGTGGGTATGGTGAATTTTGGGGATCTCTGCTGGAATTTGATCGTAATCTCGTTCTGTCAGGAGCAGATGATTGATGGATTTCTGGGGTTGGGTTCTTGAGTATCTTTCGAAGGGGAGGGGAAAAATCAGTTTTTGAGCTGGAGTTTCTTAGAAAGGAAAGCGCGAGCTTGAAGTAGCGGAGAGTCGTGCTTATTTATATTGTTCCCATTTTTTTTGGTTCGAATTGTTTGTCGATAATGTGCTGATGGTGTGAAATCTGTTGTCGGGGGTTACCAGAATGCGATGCTGCAGTATGTGAAGGTGGTTGACGCGAAGCAGCAGGTGGTTGCGGGTACTGTGTACTACATCACCATTGAAGCAACCGATGGCGGTGCCAAGAAGTTGTACAAAGCTAAGGTTTGGGTGAAGCCGTGGATGAATTTCAAGGAGGTCCAGGAATTTAAGCCCGTTGATGCCGCCCCCGGCGAAGCTAGCGCTTAGCTTCAGGGTAATAATTTCTAGAAATAAAATGTCCATGCTTAATGTTGATTAGCATTGTGTTTGACGCGTGCTCCCAGCATGTAGGGATTAGTTTTCTTTCATATGCATCTTTCTTGGCAGTTGCACTTGATCTCTCCTGAGATACACTCTCACGTCAGAAACATGGGTTGTATGCAGTTCCAAACTTCCAAGGTTACCATTTTCATCCTAATTTTAATTTCTGAGGATGGAATATCGGCGTTAACTTGACAACTAGATAACGACACGCAGGTTACACACTTTGTCTGATTTGTTTGTTTATACATGTGATTGGAGTTCTCACTAAAACACTAGTTTGTCATGGGGATACTTTGGTAGGTTTTATCTGTAGTCTCAGGGCAAGGCTTGCCATTGGCAATTTGTTTTTCACACTAAAAGATCCATTGCACTCGGTGTCTAGGACCGGTAGACAGCCACTTTCTGCATTGTTGATAGGTTATTCGCCTATCAGTTGAATGTTTGAATCTAGATGGCAGTGTTCTCCATAGAACTCACTGAATATTTGATTGCCATGCTTAGCACAAGAATCGAGCTTCTTGATTTGGTTTTTGTAGCTTTATTAATTGTACCTTAACGAGCTATGTAGGTAATTTTTCTGTATAGTCATTGGATGATTCAATGAAATCGGATAAACAATTATATCCCAAACATGTTAAAATCACACGTGCCCAAACACCATTTCATGCTTTAGGGAACTAAGTTTGTTTAGCAGCAGTATTGTCCGTGTGGTCATAATCATTGACCTAAATTGATTAAAGCCTTACCAATTGTCTCTTTCTTTCAGTTTCAGGTGACCGAAGATATGTATAGGCCTGCCTGCGGTTTTCTAGGAGGACCCTAAGTGAAAGGCCCATAATAAAGTTGAAGGTGTTTCCACGATAGGAAAAGAAACTACTTGTTTTCTGAATTTGCTTGTAAGGACATATGAAAGTTGCTACCTGCGTACCCATTGTTATGTCAAGTGTAGATCTTGAGACATGACTTATTTTCTGTGTATCTGCTTTAGTTCTTACCATTCAGTTTGGTGCTTTGACCATGTGTTATGTAAAGCTTAAGTATTTTCCTCTTGGTTATCGTTTAAAGTTCTCTTCGTGTTGGTCGGTGGATCTGATGTTGTCCAGTTTAGCTAACTATGGGGGAACTGGGGAACCCGACTTTATACTCAGCTGCCTCTAGCACGCAGAACATGGACTCTAATTTCCATTCGTGATACCTCGAACTGTTTCAGCGGACAAGCAAGAACAAGCGCCGCATATTTGAACAGTATAGTACACTAAGTGAAGAAATCTATCTTTAGCACATAATTTTCTACTCGCACAAGGGACGGGGCAGCACAGCACATAGTGAGGCATGAAGGGAAAACTGTAAGAGACTCTCAAACCGCTCCACAAGTGAGTGCAAACTGCAAAAGTTATAGACCTTGATCTTACCATGCACGTGTAAATACCGGGAAGACTTGAATGAACCAAAAATCATGCGCTTAATTTGGAGACATTTGCTGAAGATGACCTACGGTTTTTAATCGCCTTTGTCACGTCGCTTACTTTGCCTGCTGCAAAGCTGAAGGCATTGCGGAAGATTGTCTTAACCACTTCGACTGCTAACATGCAATAGAGGAAGATCAAGAGTGTGGCGACGTATATCAGGAGCAAGGAGAGACCGTTGGGGGACATGGTCACGGAAAGAGTCACGTAGGTGACAACCATGGAGAGTAGAGCCACGGGCAGCAGAACCTGGACGTAGGATGGCTTCCTGAAGAAGAACATGAGGAAAATGGAGGAGAAGAACCCAGAAGTGTTGAAGGACATGAAGAGATAGTAAGCAGCCATGGGGCATAGATTTGTCGAGCTGAAGAAGGAATGGTGGGACGTGCATTGCTTGTCTAGCTGCATGTTGTCGCTCCAAATAGTCTGTGGAGGAGACAGTCCTGCTTGGTACGTGATGGTTGCTATTAAACTGGCCACGACTAGTACCATCTCCTCCACTTCCGACCATATGCTGCTGCTCAAGTCGTCATCGGTAGATTGGCTTGACTGCTGCGTCAAGTCTGCATTTGTCGCTGCCTTCTTGATTCATTTTGCTTGAGGCTTGGCATTAGTTTGTTCATCGAGCTGATCAACTGAAACAACATCGATAGTGTCTTTGCCCACCATGTTTTGCTTCTTCAGGAAGTCAAGGATCTGCCATTTTTCCCATATTGAATAAACAAGCAGAATGAGAAAATTCGGAGGCTAGGGTCAGATATGTTATCTCACAGCTAGAACTTGAAACTGGGCAACTTATGCAGATTTTTTAGCAACCAATTCTTACTTATCTAAAGATTCAAGGTCGTAAACGACTATGCTCTAGAACTACGTTCATATGCCAACAGTGACAAGATCCAATGTCCTAATAGTTTCATTCTTCTCTTTTTAGATCTCCATCCTTGGTGAAAAGATTTTCTACAAGAAAAAGGATGGTGTTGCAGGGAATCAGTGAGATTCTATGATTCTGTGTCCGTTGCTGCATCGCTTTGAAAATTACTACCTCGACAATGAAAGTTTCTAGCCCGAAATCACTACACGTGGAGAAAATTACTGCCACACCGAGACACTTACTGTCACAAGATACAATCCCATGTTTATTCTTTCACGAGACTGTCGATATAACCCAGGGGACTAGACGCGGATCTAAAAGATATTTGTAGGAGATGCAGCGCATGTAGAGCATAAGTTATAGGCAGGCAAGTCTTTGTCAGCTGATAGATTGTACCATTGCATACATGAGTTGGTTGGTGAGAGTTTTGAATAGCTGTTGATGTCAATATTATGGACCATGTCTGAGGGGACCATGATCACAGCAAGTCGAGTTACTTGTTGAAAGAATTATGCTTTTTGAATGAATTTAGAGTTTGTTTTTTAGATTGGTAGTTGTGGAAGAAGAATCTGGTAGTTTGGGTCCACGACCCTTCGGTTACAAGCATTTGACGACAGATGGAGCAAAATCAGAGCATCCTCTACGACCTTCTAGCAGATTTTTTTCCTCAAGAATTGTAGAATTTCTGAAGATGCACCATCAATCACTTAAACGCTTAAAACGGGACACTCGGCTACACTTGGCCCCCGTAGCGTCAATCAATCAGTGTCAGATTAGGACAGCTCTTTTGTTTCAGAAAGGATTAGTCATGATTTGTGAGCGGCACCAATTTTATTAGCAGAGTTGATAAATGGATTAGTCGGAGTCATCTTGCCGACTTATCTCAAACGACATGACTCTTCTTTTCTTTTCTTTTTTCTTTTGTTTGGAGGAATTTGCGAAAACAGCAATGAACTTTTGGATTTTGTTTCTTTCTTCTTTGGTTCGGAGGAATTTGCGAAAACAAGCGATGCCCTTTCCTACACTGCACAGAATGTCAAACATCACGCAGAGGGTTATTTTGTTTCTCTACCTCTTTTGCCCCGTAGATTTGTCTTGATCATTGGCGCGTTCTAAATCGATTCAGCTCATGTTTAAACATAAAGAATCGACAGGCCGTCCGACTTTTTAACCATTTCTTCTTACTCTAATGGTTATCTGGTTCCTGCAATCTGTGCAAAGACTAGTTTCTATAGATTGAGCTGATGTAAGAACACCCACGAACCATATCCATCTGGGTTACTGTCTTTCAGACTCTTTAGCCTTTATGACCATTTGCCTCTCAAGCTAATCTTGTTATCTTGTTCTACAGTGCTTCACTCGAGAAAAAAACTTTCAGGACTTGACAAGGACAGGAACCTTTGAGAGATTTTCACTTGACCCACTTGTTTTGCTTCCTCTAACAGAAGTAAAATTATCGGGCTGTTGACTAGCCATAGTCCTGCATCTAAGCAGAGCAATTCTTTGCGAACTACCATGAAGGCGTGAACATACCTGGAGCTGTTTCGAAGCCACAGCCAGCTGTGAGATTGTGTTCCCATCATTGTCCACGGCAGTCACAAGGTTGTCTGCATCTCCATCTTCACTGACATTTTCCACCAGCTTCTTGAGCGCATCGAACTGACTGTTCTTCACAGCCAGGTGAAGCGCGGTCTCGCCGCGAGCAGTGCGTTCCTTGAGGGCTTGAGGACACTTAGAGAGTAACTCCTCAATTACCTTGACCCTGCCCTTGATGGCCGCATAGTGGAGCGGCATCCGGCCGTCTTTGTCATTGATCATGCAAAGATCAGGGCCTAGCGTTAGAAGCTCCCTCATGACTTCCAGGTTCCCCATGGCCGACACAATGTGTAATGGTGTGAAGCCATCGTGGTTCAATTCCCTCGCAAAATTGGGCTTCCTGCTAACAATCTCCTTCACGAGTTCGCTATTCCCAGCAAGCACAGCCACATGAAGAGGAGTCTCTGCCATTGGTCCCAGCACGGCTTTTTCCAGAATCAGCGGATCTTCGGCTAACAAGGCCCGGAGAGAGATGACATCTTCGTACTGGATGACTTTGGAGAGCCTAGGATCCATAGGAATTTGTCCAGAACGATAAGAGCCTTCTGCTTCTTTGGTTTGTTTGTGGTTCTTGACGTTAGTTTCAGAAGCTTGGTTCGTCGCATTTATGCACAGAGCAAAGATGGGACACTGCAATAACCCAAGCAAACACCTTGGCTTCCTTCCTTTCAGACAATGGACATTTGATGATTGATGGAAAAGTTACTCAAACCAGAGGATCAAACTTCTAGACCGTTAGGTACACAGAACACTCTACATTGGTTAAGGCTTTAAAAGCCCCTACAAATGCGAACACCTGTCAATCCGATGACATAACATCAGCCCAAGAATAAGAAGGAAAATGCGAGATCGTATCCCGCCATTACGGACATTGTCTTTGGTGAACAGTCTGGTCACTCTTGATCCATTGGATTGAAGACACTATTTTTCCCGACGCACAGGAGTGCAAGAAAAGATGGCTACACATATATAAGATTATGTGCTGTCGCATTGAAATACGAAATAGACTTGAGGGCGTCAGTACATTTCAAACTAAAAAGGATTAAAAGTTAGTGACAATGATAAGCTGAGTGATGATAACACCAAGTGACAACCATCAAAAGCCTCTGTACATGTATACAATCTGACACGTTAAACTAAGAACTTCCTAAAGGAGCTTGGATATAGTCAGTTTCGGCCCTGTCTTGACATTGTTTCCTAAGTTTAGCATGTGAGCTGTCTAATCTATCCAAACACATCTAATGATTTTGCATCAACTCTGAGGATTCACAAAGTAAGAGCACTAAAACACCCTGCTGACCTAGCCTTCTTCATCGTAGTCTTCATCATCCTCATCCATCCTTCTATCCAAGTTTGCAAGCTGAATGGGATCGATAGCCATCTTCTCAACTTCGGAAAGGGACCACCCAGGATATTCTTCATGCTTCAATCCAGTGTTAGGAGCTGCTGATATACTGGGCGGACAAGAAGCTAATATGGATTTTGAGTCCCCATTTTCATCCAAATCCACATTCAGGTCAAAGTTCCGAACAGGCGGCTCAGCAGATCTAGGAGTAGGAATGCTCTCTTTCGATTCATTGAGATGGTCACCATTTTCTGTGCCTTCATGATCCTGATTCGAATTGTCCTGCTGAGAAACATCTCCATCGACTTCGAACTTCTCATTCTGCGCAGTTAAATCCCCCTCTGAGGCTCGACCACCTCGCCCACGACCCCTACCTCTGCCCCTACCCCTCCCTCTCCCAGCACTGCCTGTGTGACCAGTATCATTCTGAAATTGAAATGGCACAGAGAAGAAATATTTAAATTTGTCAGTAAATCTGAATTCAGTTTAATAAGGCCGAACGAGCTTCAGAGACCAGATAAAAATCATCTTGAGGTGCAAGAATGTATGACTATGCTGTTAATCTTTGACACTGGTTACATCCAAACAAAGAAATGCTACAGAAGCATATTACTGACAAACAAAGCTGCAGTAAGTTACTCATTAAACACTGATAATACTATGAAGTTAGTAGAGCGTAAAAACTGCCTAAGACCTACAAGCCTTTGTTTTGAAATGGTGGGCAAAGAAACAAAATTTTAATTTTACCTCATTCTTACTCTTACTCGCACAAATTTCAATTTTTTTTCAACTTTCCATCAATACTTTCATCCCCTCCACTTTCTCCACCTTCCCAGACATAGCACAAAAGAAAAAGTGATTGAAAAACGCCAACTAAGCATTCATCCATGGACATGAGATACTGTGTAACTAATGGGCTGGACAGTCGAGATGACATGATGAGGCAAGCCACATAAAGGAAAAGGAAAGAAATGATGATGATGATATCCATAATCATGGGAAACATTACCATGCGGCTCCTCTTTGATTCATCATCAGTATCATTTTCCCCATCATCAACCATTTTCCTGATAATCAAATACATAATGTGATATTAATAGCCATATTCCCTCACTGAAATGGTAAACTTGTAAATTCACATTTAACTAACCTTCTTTTAGCAGCAGTCCGATCATCTCCAGCAGTGTCAGAACCACCGAAATCAGGAACCTTGCTCACAATTTCCCTCAAGAAATCAAATACGTTAAAGGTTTGAACACACTGCTTCCTGCAATTGAGGAGCAGAGTTATTCACCTCAAAATAATTATTCAAAGGAAAGAAAACGAGCAGAGAGGGAACACTAAACTCTGCCGTATTCTCTTTCAAGGGAAAAAGAAGGGAGGCGGAAGATAGAGAAAAATGCTCCCCGATCAGGAATGCCATACATACAATTTTGCATGCTTGAAGGAGGCAGAGAAAAAGAGAAAAGCAAGCAGTGGAGCAATTCTCCCCAGCACAACATGAGAATCGTGACTGGGAAGGGAAGAGAGAGAAAGAAAGAGAAAGGGGGAAGACAAAGTACTATAAGTCTGCTTACAGATGCAAGGAGTTCAGTGTCTTCGCTCCCCTCTTCAAGGTTATATCATATGTCCGATCACAAAGGTCTTGCAGGAACAATTCCAATGCCTTAGCTGAAAGAAGGCAATGAGCATTGATATATCAAATTGGGATTTCTCATGCTGACATAAATGAGATCAACTGCAAAAGCAAGTCTCCAGGCCAATCCTATCAATTATGAACTAGAGAGGAATAAATCAACCAAAATGCAGATGATGTACACTTACAAACAAGAAGAGGCACAGCCATAGCAATCTTCCCAACATCCTCATCAGCTTGCATAATTTTCTTAATCCGGGCCTACAAAAGGAATCGCTGTCAATCATACCAAATTTATTCCCTAAACAGTAAAGTGACTGGGGGACAGCAGGAAAGAGAATTCACAGACAGGTACATGAACCTGAAGCACAAACATCAAGACATCGAGCAACAAACCAAGACAGTTTTAATTTGGTCGTCCCAATGTTGTCGGGCAAATTAAAAATCATCCATCTGTAATGCAAGCGGACAACAAGTTGCCAACCCCTGTTTTCGAAAGTAACACTACGTCCACTTGTGGTTTGATCCTAATGCAATCTCAACACTTCTGCCGTAAGTGTTTCAGCACTCAACCATTGAGCCTAAACAATCAACCATTTGCTCTCTACAAAACTTAAAACAAGCTTGACGGATCTGCGTCTGCCAGCTAAATTGCATCCTAGGCTTATTTTCCGTCCAAACCTTAAAACTCGATTTTCTTTCAAGGATCGCCTTCTGCGCTAGCATCAAACATTCCATTCTTACCTCATGATTTGTGCAAGCACTTAATTGTTATTCAATAAAATAGTTTTGTAAAATTGGCAAGTTCTGCAAACAATTTTCACTTCTTTTCATTTTGAGAATGCCAAAAAAACTGATGCAGAGTCATCTAATTGCTTCTCAAACGGCAAGAAGAAGAACAAGAAAAGGGGGAAAATACAAGCGTATAAATGAGAATGGTAAACAGTTCCAACTATCAATGCCTCTTACAGCCATGCAATGCTGACAGAATAGACGCTGGCTTCTCCAAACTGGCACTAATTTTACCTGAAGAGACCATAAGCTGAGAAGAAGCTCAACATTCAACCTGTAAAACACTTCTTATAGTGTAACTTTTCATGCTATCAATTTGAATTTCGCCCATTCCATAGTTAGTAGTTTGCCATTTGTCCTATAATGGCTTGTGCAGTTTTTGTGCACAAGAGGCCATTGTTATCACTATTTGACTTCCTACATTTCTTTAACCTATGTTCCAAAGAGGAACAAAATATCCTCATTTTTACGGGCTAAGGAAACAGGAAACTAGCTTTGACTTCTAAAACTAATTGCTCTTTCTTCAATTTCACTAACGATGTTGTGCATAATATTGCTAGACAGGCAAATCTCCACCTGCCCAAAAAACCGATGTTGTGCATATCCGATGCACACCGCATGGCTACGAGCATTTGAATATACGACAGATAACCCAGTAAGCTATGATCAAAAGCACGTCCCACTGAATATGAACACCGCTCGCAAGACTTTTGCCGGAAAATCTAATTCAAATCAACTATTAGTCTGTCGCAATTACAGAAAATTCGCAATCACAACCTCTCTCCCAATGAATCCATGATTAATCAGATACGGCAAAAAGCCGCGCATAATCACAGTCGGGAGCACGAACTCGGGCCCGGCAGGTGAAAAAAAACCATGTCGAACACGCCCCGTGCACGACGCGTTCAGCTCAGCTAGAAACAAAAGGAAAACCTAAAAAGCACAAAAGGAAACAGGGGGGAAAAAGGCACAGCAACAGCCGCCGCAACAGTGTCGCATGGCCAGAAACTAGCAGTTGCTTACCGCTGGGAAGCGTGTGTCGAGCTTCTTCCTCATGTCGCCGGGCGGTCGCCGACGGCGGAGGCGAAAACCCTAAAAAGGAAAAACACGCGCGCGCGAGGGGGACGAGCGGCGAGCCCCTCCGCTCCTGCCCTAGCGCAGCCTCCGCCTCTGCTCGCACGGGGAGAGAGGGATAGAGATAGAGAGAGAAACGGAGCCCCTTCCCCCGAACCAGGACGACCGCGGCAACGGCGGCGAGAACCGTTCCGGCGAGAGAGCGAAACGGAGGGAGGGACGGAGGAGGAAGAAGAAGAAGAAGCAGCAGCAGCAGAAGCAGCAGAAGCAGAAGCAGGAAGCAGAAGAGTTGCGACTTCGCTTTTTTCTGAGGAAAAGGGAAAAGTAAAAAACCGCCTCCAATTCCCTCGCTTTTGATTTATTTATATATATAGCTTCTTGAAAATTTCGTGGCTTTTTATTTATTTAATTTATTTTGTTTTTTCTCTTAAACCCCGGGCTGGGGATTAAGCTGGGCTCGAATCTTCTGCGCTCTCGGAAGCGGTGGTCCTTCTCGCCGGAGCTCCAATCGCCGGTCGCCACGTCGTCCCGTTCCGTTCTGGGGCTTCGTTAGACCGTTCTGGGCGGGGGCGGGGGGGCGCCGTTAAGTCACGGCGACGGTATTTCGGAACGATGAAAACGGGGAAAAACGGACCCGCGGCGACGCCGCACGAAAAGTCGCGGCGATCCTTTTTTCCGTTTGCCAATCGAAAGAATAATGCCGAAAGGCCTGAAGTTTCGGCTGAAAAGTTTTCTTTTCAGGTTCTCGAATTTAATTTTTTTTTTTCGTGTAAATGCCCTTTTTTTTTGCATATGTAAATTTCTATTTTTACCTCACAATAAGTTTATTAATTATTTTTGGTCGAAAGGTTTATTAAGTTTATATATCTTTTTTTTTTTTTGCTCTCGTCACCGTCAAGTATTGATTCCTCGTGTGTTTATGGCACCCGCATGTGGACACGGATTGCAGGACCCATCCACCGCCGCGATTATAAATATATTTTTTTGGGCTTTGAATCCCCGACATCCTAAAGGAATTTCCTAATGGGTGTAATGAACCGGCAAAAATGTGTTGTAATTATTTGCTTATGTATGAGATGCTATGATTAAATAAAAGAAATTATTACGTCGTTCGATGTAAACACATACAAAATTATTATCGTCATGCCTTAAAGAAAGCATAATTTAATCAGATAATAATTCGAGATACGATAATTGTGTTCGTCTCTATTGACTAATAAAAGCGTCGGATGGATATCGTTTTGAAATGGGATTGTTATAAGTTTTGTTTCGATATTTCCCTATAAAACTTCCCACTTTTTTTAATTGATTCAAATGCATAATTCACAACGTGGTAGGAGTGGGTCGATTCTCAAAATTAAAGTCTGTACGTGGTTTAATTCGGGCTAGTGACTCTGCCTTTGGGTCTAGGGCTCCATTCCATTAAATACACTATTTTTTTTCATCTGTAATTTTCTGATTTTTCGTTTTATTTATTTATTTTTCGACAGGCCTTTTCGTCGTTTAAGTTGGCATTGTTCGGTTGGCAAGTGTGAACAAGTTTTTGCCCCTTTTCTCTTTCTTAGTCGTGTGTTTTTAATGCACATCTCGCCCATCCTACAACCTAGGTGTGCTTTTGCCATGTAACGTCTTCATTGATTGACAATTTATCAATTGAGAAATGGTTTGATGTGCATTGGACAATTTCAATTGCATCCTAGACTGAGGTTCAACAAACTCATTCAAAGTCTAATGAAAAAGCTATGGAAATCGTCGGTGACATCAATATTCTGTGGCGTCCAAAATTATAATTTTTTTTTAATTTATACTATATATGAAAAGTAACCGCGAAATAGAGTTGCAATCTGGACTTAGGCATAGTGGTGGCACAGTTGTTGTTTGAGCCCAACGACTCGATAGTTGATTTCCTTCCTTTTTCCTTTAACTCACGTCATCGGTTTTTTTTTTTTTTGTCTGTCTTACTCCAACTCTCAACTCAATCTTAGACTTTTACCTTATCTCTTGCGGGTATGTGAGTCGAAACTCATATCTGAAACTACACGTCCCAATCCTAGCTTCCCTGAGAAGATGGGGAATCGAACTCTGCACATCCCCCTTCCCAAGTAGGAAGGGTGGGCAAACCCCAATAGTTAACTCACATCATCGGTTAATTTGGTGAACATTGGTGTTAGTCTATATTGATGTTTATATCATTACTTTTAAATTGATGGACTAAGTATAATAGAAAAATGCATAACAATTTAAGGATAACATTGAACGAATAATGACGGTTTGGAAACAACGAATGTCATCATTATGTACTTTGAATGTTGGGGAACTGAGTTGTGTGTTTTAACCTTTGGCAGTGTTTTCGGGTAGTGAGTGTCCGTGAAAACTTCAAAATGTTAAAAATTGCTCCTTCTATAATTATTCGTTAAACTTTCTTTTATATTTTAATTTGGACATCATAAAATATTTTTGCTTAGCTATAAATGTCGATATCAATATGGTATTAAATATACGTATTCAAATATTTTCAAAAACTTATATATTGGGCTCTTTTTATGCTTGCTTGTCATAAATTTCTTAGCATTTGCATTTCTAAAGATTTGAGATTCACCATTCTAAATTGGACTGAAAATCTATTTGCAAAAAGGAAGCAAAAGTGAATGCTAGAATTGTATGGGTCTGTTTGGGGATAATTACCCAATTAGTCTCAATCCTATCGTTTAGTTGCCAATTAAGTTATAAACTTTCTAATTTGGCTAAAATAGTTCTATATCTTTCTAGAAATTTTCAATGTAGTCGTTTTGACTTGTTGCCATTGGAAGGACAACATACATTTCTAATCACCAAATGTTTAGGACTATATTGGCCGATTTGAAAATTTTAGGAATAAATTGATATCCACATCATAGATTTAAGATTGACTTGGTAATTTTCCTGTCTATTCAAGTAGTTGTTTTCTTTTTATACTTTCTTTTTTGTTTTTTGTTTTTAATTTTTTTTAATTTTTGATTTTTTAATATTGAGTGTCGAATCATTCGAAAACATACATTAACTTAAGATATCAATGCTTTTTTTCATATATATAATTTCAAATTCAAAGGAAAAACAAAAAGAATTTGAAATGAATAGTCATAAATTTTTTTTTGCATCTCGACTTTAATTACGAGTTAATAGATAATCATTACATACCTTTCACGTCGTTCCCCTCTACAATAAAAAACAACGTGAGCCCTGAAAAACACGTCCTCCATTTTCACGCTCGCCGGGCGTTTCCAAGTTCCCGTCCCAACCAGTTCCATCCCACTCCGTCGTGCCAAACTTGGCCCTCGGGAGTCGCCGCTACTGCTCCGGCGAAAACGGATAACCTCGAGGGACCAAAATGGAAAAAAAAAATCAGAAAGGGGGCGGGGGGGCGAAAAGACGAAACGTGGGGGGAAGAATCGGAGGACGGGGAGGAGAAAAACAGTTCGGCGAAAAGGCCGTCCCCCGAGGGTGGTTCGCCGCCGTTCCGTTCCGTTCCATTCAGTTAGTGTGGAAAAAACAGTTCCCGCTGCAACGGACCCAAAACAGAAAATATCGATTTCACAAAAACACACACGCATATATAAATAAATACAAAATAAAAATAAAAATAAAAATATTGGCAAGAAAAATCGGGGGGGATGAATATCGGAAAAACAAAAACCCTATTCTTATTCAGTTTGGGCCTCGAAATTCCTATCCGTCTCCACCTTCCTCCCCCCCACCCCCCCCGCCCCTCCGCGAATCGCCGCTCCGTCGCCGGCTGCGACCGACCGATCGATCGGAGCACCGCCGTCCTCCTCCCTCGATCAATCTCTCTCTCCCTCGCAGGTCAGTCTCTCTGTTCGGCTGTTCTCTCGGATCTCCTTCAATTGCCGCATTCGCGAGGCGGCGGGACGCCCGGCGTTTCGATTTCCGATCCGCTCTCTGCCTCTTGTTCTTTCGCTGTGGTGTTCTCCCCTTCCTTCTCGTCGCGTGGTTTAGTGTTTCGATTCGAGCGGCCGGAGTTAGGTATCGGGGAGCCGGAAGAGTCGCCGTTCTTGGCAGAGTTTTTTTCTCGCGATTCTCCTCCTTAATCCGTGATCGGCCGATTCTTGGCGTTGGCGGCGACTTGTTCGTTCGATGATTTTTCCTTTCTTTCTTCCTTTTTTTTTTCCTGGAACGCTTCGCCTTTTTCCTGTTTGTGTCGGCGGAATTGGTTACCAGAGCGGCGTGGCGATGTTAGGGATTTTCTGATTTTACGCGGCTCCTGTTGGTGTGATTGCGGAATGTGCGAAGAGAGTGTGTGCTGCTGCATTGCATTTGGTGGGTTACTGTATGCACTAGTTTAGGTATATCTAGGTCTTTCATTGTTTTGATTCATCCGTGTTGTTGCAGAATCTTTTGTAGCATGTTGGATTATACGTGGTCAAGAGGTCGAGTGTCCGTTTTGGTGACTGAGAAAAACTCGGCTCTTGCATGGTGCGTTGTTTGTTTGATGATGCGCTTAATTTCTGTCGAGCAATTCCGGCTGACTGATTGTTAGGTCTATCTAGATCATAAACTGGTATTTGCTTCCCGGATTAGATTTTTTCCTGGACCGTGGTATCTGTCTCGAGAAGGAGCTTTTGAGCATAGGGACTGGGCTGGACTCTCAACTCGAGACACGGAAGTCAGATTTTACTTTTTGAATCCTCTATTAAAGGTTTATGGCAGAGACTACTGCAACGACAGAAATTCTTGATATATTTTGAGGGCCGTGCATGTTTTCAAGCCTGCATTCGTTTTTTCGAAGGGTCATGACTTTATCGTACTCGTTGTGATGTATTTGCATTTCGTATTTTTCCTTTTCTTTCTCCTCTTCGACCAATGCCAATCTTACACTCTGAATATGTGCTGGAGTTTGCATGTCATCCATCATCCGAGGAAGTTTGATTAGGCAAGTTGTGGCATAGTACTCTGTTTTAGTCACTTTTTATTTGGGTTAAGATGACGGTGATTGCATGCAAGCTCTGCCTTTTACTTTTAAGTTCATCTCACACTTTTTATGTACGCATTGGGCACCATCTCTCTCTTTCACGTTTCTCCTCGAACACATAAGACCACACATATTAATGGTATTTTTGGTGACATGTGAACTCACCTGCAAAAAGCGTTGGTTATTGATGGGGCAGAGAGGAACTGAATGCACAAATATTCAATAGTAATCCCAGAGGCATTCAGGCATCAAAAGTTTTTGTGGGGTTGTTCCGTATTTGGTAGTTATGGTTGAACCTCACACTAACCTCATGGGGAATTTGATGATTTAGGCTCTAGAGAGTGTAGTCATAGCTGTTGGGATATTATTGAGCTGAAGGCTGGCCTCTCTGATAATTTCTTGGAGGGCTTAAATGCATGTTCATATATATTTTTTTGTATAAGTTATGCGAATAGCTGATGTTTTCATCAATCTAAAGTGTCAGCTAATTAATGTCCCTTCCTCATGCTCTGTCTTCGAGATTTATGTTTACAGAATCTAGTCCCCACGACTGATTGGTGGATAAAATACTAATCATTAATGATCTTGGTATCAAACATTGGAATTGAATCTGTTCAGTTTGTCACATGCTTTCTGGAATATTTTCGCGTTTGAAGGGACTGTGCTGTCCATTTTAGAATCACTCAAGCATAACAAATGAAATCTTTTATGTGTTTTCATCCCTGAGTTTCTTTGGTGGCCCTTTTTCTCTGATCCATAAAATGATTACGGCTCATTCCAAGTCAGGTGTCTGAACTTTAGAATTTTGTTTTCCCTATGTCCTGTGAGTTAAAAATATGATCCCTGAAAGTGTTCCTAGATGGTGGCTTTTCACGGATTGAGTGCATTGCTTCCGATTGTTGATGTTGTTCAAAAAATGTCCATGGACATTAATATATCTAAACTTATTAGAGTCACCCGAAAGTATTTAAAAATGCAACTCAAAATTCTCTGAGATGGGATGGCTACCCTGTATTTACAACCTATCATGTTTTTGCAGTCTCGTGTTTGGCTACGGTTAGTAGGTTACTTTTCATAGCTTTCATTAATAGAAGGATGGTGCTGCCTTTTTGATTATAAGACGTTTCAGTCTTCTTGTCTCCATGTAATTTTTTTTAGAAGTGGGAAAGAGAAAAAGTTTACTGATATGGCTTTTCAGTAAATAGAGCTGCTTTTCTCTCGTTGACTTTGGCTGATTTGTCGATTCTGTTATATTGGGATAAGTAAAAGCAGTTTTGTTATGATCTGTGACGTTTCAGGTACTTACTCGCTTTTAGAAATGTCTTCAGCGTCCAAATCCAAGTCTAAGGACAAGAAGTCTGGGAAGGAACCGATAAAGGCTGCTTCCAAGCCCTCTGGACCTGCAACTGTGGGTTCTGGAGTCCCTGCCAGTGCATACAACCCTCTTTTAGGAACATTCCACTCTCTTGAAACGGTGTCAAGTTCATCTGGTTCGCCTCTTCAAGCTAATGGTCGCTTCAGGACTATTAATGAGACAGACGAGCAGACTGGCTCACTTGCTGTGGTTGTCGAATTCGATTCTGTCTCCAACAACGGCAGCTGGTCTGGTGAGTCGGAAGACCATAAGGAAAACAAGTCCAATCTTCCTGGTCGCCAGGAGTCTGTCCCAGGAGCCGACAATGACAAAAGAGAGAAAATCCGCCAAAAGAATGAGAAGAAGCATCAGCGTCAAAAAGAGAGACGAGCTCAGGAATTGTACGAGCGATGCAGTGGCTATCTTATGTCAAGAAAGCTTGAAGCACTTGCTCAGCAGCTCGTGGCAATGGGCTTTTCTCATGAACGGGCAACCATGGCTCTTATAATGAATGAAGGCAGGGTAGAAGAATCAGTTGCATGGTTGTTCGAAGGGGGTGAAGAGGCTGATAATCAGAAGGATAAAAAGTTCGGTGGGACTAACTTGAAAATTGACATAACAGAAGAGCTTGCTCAGATTACAAATATGGTATCCAAGTTTAAATGCTCGAAACAGGAGGTGGAGAGAGCTGTTGTCTCCTGTGAGGGCGATCTTGAGAAGGCGGCGGATTTGTTGAGAACTCAGAAGCAAGAATTATCTTCTGCTCCTTCTAAACCAGAAGAAACTGGAGATTGTTCTAGTTTAAGTAATGGCAAGCTTTCGTCAACTGCTGCCATGAACTCTGGGATGTTCCAGCTTAAACCAAATCCGTCTTTGTCAGCCCAGCTGAGAAGAGATGACAGAGACTATAATTACACGAGAAGTGCAGGGAATGCAAGTGGTTATTTGGAGTCCGGCCCGAAGAATGTGCAGCTGGTGAAGAGATTTCAGCAGAAGTTGGAATGGATGAAACCCCTACACTCTGCAATGCCGGCTGAGAAGAGTCGACCTGGTGCTGGATCCGGTTCAATGGCAACACCTGTTCAGGTGTCGCCTTCACTGGCGAAAGGAGAGACCCGTTATGTTGCTGTTGGAGGTGAATTAAAACATCTTCCTCTAGGAACAGTCCGGGAGCCGGTTATCATGATGCAGCGACCACAATCAGCCAATGCAAAGCAGGTTCCTGCTATAAGTGTTGGCTCGCCCCCTGGAACAGGTCCCGTTTGGCATCCTTCTAATGGCATTGACATTATGAAGTCAGGTGCTTTGCTGCCTCAGATTCCTAGCAGTAGAAGCCTCGGCACGGGCCATCTGAGTTCAGGTCAGATGTATCCCCAGCTTTATTATCATCAACAATTGGGTCTCGGAAGCAGTCCGTTGGAGTCACCAGGGACAAGCCGAACTATGGGTTTTCAACAGCATCAACAATTCATACAAGGCGGTGGTTTGGGAGATATGCCTGGGACAAGCCGAGGTAATGGTTCGTGGAGTAGAACGAGCGCACCTCCTACGCTCTCGGCTGCTTCTTCCCTTGGTCTGTTTTCTGGGTTGGGTTCTTCTGGTTCGTCAGGGGCTGCTTCTCCAGTGGACTGGAGCAACAGTACAGTGGGGCAGCAGTTTGATTACACCAATGTCGACTGGTCGTTGGATCGGGGCTTGTCTTCCCCAAGATCCACCAATTGGTTGATGGGGTTGACCACTTTAATGAAGAACAAGGCGACCATGTTCGATTCAGATGTTCCTACAGCGGGTGCCAACATTGGCATTAGACCTGCTCCCTCCAATGGGAATGGCGTTTCTCTCGTGGGACTTCAAGATGCATCGGGAGCTACTACTACAGACACATCTGCTCCTGGTTCTCGGGAGTGGACGTCCCCTTTTGAAGGAAAGGATCTTTTTAGCTTGCCTAGAGAGTTCGTCTCTTCCCCTTCTCTGTAGGCCTCTCAGATAGGATTCCAACGAGCAACGAATAAAATGGAAAAGAAAAAAGGAGACTTGAAAAGGAAAGAATGGCATTTGGATTTCGTATGTGTTAGATCTTGTTGCATGACCTTCTTGTGAAAATTGCATTGCAGTTTCCTTTGCTCGTCTTCTGTCTGCATGGAGAGAGAGAGAGAGAGAGAGAGGTTCCTTCATCTTTGCCTATAATCAGAGGTAGAATCGGAGCGTCCCCGTTTTAACCTCTCCGTCATCACTGTGCGGTTGACAATTTAAATTGCCGCGATGGATTGTCCGCCCCGGACAAAACAGCTTGTGCTATTATTGCTCGAGAGTGCAATTTCACCTAGTTCCTGACTCATCCAGTGACTCACAACAAAATCTTTCGAGCTACGGTTTGGCCCTGCTACGTTTGGCAAGAAAGGTTTAGGAAAGCGCTTATCATTCCGCATTTTCCCCTCCCCTCCCTTCTTAAGTGTCAAAGTGGTGTCCAGAAATCCCTAGGAGACTAGCCGAGTGTTATTGGATTGTTGACCGAACTTAGAGAGTAATTTGTACGGGCGCCCAAATCGTATAATCATGACACAAAGAAGGTTCACTTCTCGATACGTGCAATGCGAAATACTTTTGCAAACCATCGAGTTAGAGGAAAGGCATCCTCTCACGTTTTTCCTCTCTCTCCTCTAATTTGCAAGTGGTTTGCAAGAGGACTCTCCGGCACCGTCTCGAGTCTTTCGCAATTATAAGATGGCATTGATTTAGGGACGATTAATTCCTGCCAGGAATCATTTGTTCCCCTCGTATTCTTTACTAGGAAAGCTAGAAATAAGACCTTCCTCTATTGCAACTGGCCGCCACTGCCAGAGCTGCGACCGCTATCGGTTTCAGTTGGTTAACCACCAATATCGCCAATCCCTCTTCATTTCTTGAAGAAAAAACTTTCTTTTCATCGATTAGCACTTACAATATAATATCCTGGGAATTCATACAGAATATGGAAAAGCAAACTAGAAGGACTTGCTCGCGTTTCATCATGGCAGTGAGGAAAAACCAGGTCTTGAACCACAAGCACTTGTTGCTGTCGAAGAAGCAGGTTCTCCGTACCATTGATTGGACTCTCGCGTGATGAAGTTGGCCTCTGCACGGGACAAATATTTCATCCAGATATCATGATCAGAGTAAATTTTGCGTCCAAGAAAGAATGAGGAAAGATTGCATTCATCTTTTTCACAGTTGTCAGATCTTCGGATATGGGGAATAAGTACCAATCAAACATATATTAAGAAAGAAGACTGCAGGGCTGTCCACAGAAAATAAGAATAACCAGGGCGAAGTATTTTTTTCTGAAATGGATCACCAGATTGTTCTTGTCAAATATTTTACCACACTGAAGCCTGGTAACAGAATTTGCTTCGTCTATTTCTGCTTTTAACCTGTCTAGGTCTTTATGGCCATTCCAACCAGAGTATTGCTATGATAAGCTTGCAATCGTATTGAGAAAGGAAACAAACAGATAACTAGTTGACAATACTTAAGTAACTTACCTGATAAGAATACATCTTTGTACTCTTCTTCATCGTAGACAAACAGAGGAGGGTCTGGTGAACCAACTCCGACAATTGTGCTCCCACTAAATCAGACAAATTTGGACACCATAGGGAAATTAGTTTGTGGGAATGGAAGAGAATACGTGATATCAGAACATGATCCTGGAACGTATAAGAAGATCTGAAAACATTCAAAGCCAACTCTCCCTAAGATGAGAGCAGACACCGCCATTAAATTAATAACAAAGGAACAGTGCAATCACAACAAATTCCAGCTCACTGTTTAAACAATTTAAACACAGGATATTTCAAGTAATTGCACCAGAGTGATAATGTTCATCACTTAGGTAGCTTATATTGCTATCATTATCTATCTGATATAGTTGAACTGAAATTAAGCCATACTTACAACAGGTAATTGGGATTATGGATGACCTGTACCTTTTAAGGGAAACATTCCAATACAAGGACATCTCTTTCTAAACTAGAGTCCATAATTGTTTTGGCCAAAAAGAAAAAAGAACTGCCAGATTTTGATGAAGATTGTAGATGTCGGACAATCCTGAACGACAAAAGTTCAAATGGATGCCGCAACTGTAATAATCCAGGCATCAGTTTCTATTCTAAACTTCTAAACTATGTTTGAAACTTTACAGTTTAGTTTTCTTTCAAAAAGCTATATTTTCCAGAGGCAAGCATCATAAAAACCATTGTCACAGTTTATCAAAGACGAGATTATCTAGCCCTGGGACAGAAAGTGATGAAGGTAGAGAGTCCAAAAGTTGAGGTTGCTAGCGAAAATATTGGAGCTGCAAGTAACTATCCTGTGTGGTCAACGGTTCATTAGGAAAAAAAATGAATCGGGATTATCTTGTATGAGGCTAAAAGTCTGTGTGCTTAGTTTACAAGGTACCTAAAGAATTTGAGCAGTATGTTGGTATTATTTTGAAGTCAATTATGAGCCTTGTCACCCCAACACGCTAATGTTTTTCATCCTTACATGGAAAAAGATCCACTTCAAGGTTTTTCTAGTTTTTTTGGCCAATGGATGAGAAATATAAGAACATGATATACCTCACAATAATTGAAGATTAGGTTGATGCTTCGTTATGGACTCACTTTTGCAAAATTGATGAATATAAAAGTCTCTCCATCTCACTCCTAATAAATTGACTTTGTATACATTTAAGCCTCGAAAGGCACATCTACATTAAATGCTTTCGGTTATAATTTAAGCATAAGATATTCAAGAAATATATTCCTCTGACAACTTTACTCTCTGCACAGGATATTAGGACTTTAGACTGGCATCACTTTATTTTATTTTTTTCTGTACCTTCCAGACATGAAAACAGCATCATACTGTCCGCGGCCAGCAGCCATTATTCGCTGCTTTAACCTTTTGAGAGATGGTAGTACCTCAAACGCTGGAGCTTCTGCAAGGAAATATAAACATTTGAACAATGAAACTTCTGATTGCGACTAATTCTGTCTCTATGACAAACACCAGCAAATATAAGTGTTTTTTTTTACCAAAATAAGTCTGGCATCATATAAAAATATATATTCATTGCAAAATGAAAGGAATTCTCTGCAAATAAAACTATATAAAAGAAAGGAGGTATTGATATTTGGTAGGTCACAAAGTCACACAGAATAAGTTTTCCGAACAGAAAGCAACAGAGGAAAGGCAAGATGGAGTGCTGTCATGTCCATTTACCCAAATCATTAATGCACACATCTTGAGATATTCCATCCTTTGACAGCTTTTCTAGCAAGGCTAAAGGATCAGCATTACTAGTCTTGTCCAACTGTAGACGCTGAGGATAGGAAGAAACATCTTCAGAAAAAATTGTCATCTCATAGGGAGTAAGCTGACTAGAGTTTTCGTTAACTACTCACAACTCTATTACCTTGTAAACTTCAGCAGTCGAACATGCCTGTGGAGGTTTTATTAGAACCATCGGAATGTCCAAGGATATAGGTGGAGGGATATCTTGAACCACCTAGAAAAATAAGGGCTATATAATGATTGGGTGGAACTTGGAATCATATTAACTTACCAAAAAAAATGGAAAGGTATAGAAGAAGTACACGGAACAACCTGATTAATGCATTAGAAGATGATCAGAAATTCATCGTCTTCCATGCAGATGCATAGCATAGGTCAATGAACATTCTAATCAACTAAGTGGCCGCAAGGCCAAGAGAAGGAAATTAGAATCTTGTTAGGATCGAGTTTTATTTCCTTCCAAAGCATTATTGGCTACTATCACAGACTTCTTAAGCTCTTAGAGCAAATGAATGGAAACCACAAAAGTACTTTCTGCTAAAAAGACGATACTGGAAAAGTAAGGTTTGAACAAGAAACGAGAAAATAACTAACTACCAGCAAGTATTCTGCAAGTTCAGACGTACCTCACCTCGACCAGTACAATATGCTGCTCCATGGGAGAAGAAAAAGGGAATATCTGAACCAATTTCACCAGACCATTCTTGAAGTTCCTTCTCAGTTGCAACACAACTATTGAATTGGTTTGCAGCCCAAAGTGCAGTTGCCGCATTACTACTTCCGCCGCCAAGTCCTGCTCCAGTTGGTACTTTTTTGTCAAGATGGACCTGCCATATGTCCCCAATTCGAGTCTCTGGTCAGATCAGAAATCCCTGAGCAAGACATAAAAGAATGTGGGACTCGTGCAGATGTTCAGTAATTTACATTACACATAGGTGTTCCAGCATAATTTACTCCAAAAATTGTGATATCCATTTTAGTTGGAACTCTTGTCTACATCAATCTAAGATTAAGTTAGGGACACCAATTCTGTAATTCCCATCGACTTTGATGTTTACTGTACATTCAAAGACATTTTTGCTTTTTAACATCACCACAACTCTCTTTAGTTTGTAATACTTCAATTTAACGAAAGGCCTGATGTAATTCACTGAGGCAAATAAGACATAAGAAAGACAATAGCATTTACTGTCTAGAGACAACACTTTCTGCTACACCTGCCAATTTTGAAGAATTATCAGAATTATATGCACACACGAACAGACTCAAATACAAACAAAAGGGGCAGCTTCTCACCCAAAAAAATTTGTTGCTGCCTGTCTTTTTCCTGTAGAGATTCAGTGCTTTGATGATCTGCGAAACATCAAAAGAAAATACAATCACATATTAGATACTGTAATGATGCCAAGAACACGGTGACATTGAAACGAACCAAATCCCTCAAGCATAGGATATACCAAATTTTTGTCATCAAGAGGTACACCAGGCACATTCGTGGAAAGTTGATCCTTTTGGGATGGTGACAGAGAGAACTTGATTATGTCCCCCAAACTTATTACCTGGAAGCACCAGTAGGTCATGCAAAGCACACATATAGATTAGCTCAACCTCAGAAAAAACTCGTGCTACACAACTGTGCTTCTCCATGGACCCAACCCAAACCTCAATACATTCCGCACCACAAACAGGGACATGGCGGCAAAAAGGATGATCAAGATTAAGAAACCTTACATGAAACAGAGACGCCAGATCATGGTA